AAATGATGGAGAGAGAATTACGCTGACCATAAAGGTTGTTTCTAAGCTTGTTATTGATCAACAACTGTCCTAACCTGATTTGATTACTATTCAAACAACACATAATTCAGAATCAAAGCTTTTCAAAGGTCGAAAGCCGCAAGCAACAGGATGCAGTATTGATGGACTTATTCTTATTAGATTTGTCTTTTATAGCAAATGTTCTACCATCAATCATTCCCTTACACAAAATAAGCCTCCTGACATTACCACAATAATCTCCTAGACATATGATCTGTCCTTACAATATTCACATCAAACATTCATTTTCTCTGTGTGAGATTTCCTGAAATAGATACTCCTACATTTCCCATGTAATGAAACCAATTTCAGCTGATTCAAACCAATAAATCTTAATTAGATTTTAATTTCAAAACATTTCAAGGATATATTGAAGCAGCATTTTCTTCCAATGTGAATGTAATCTAAGTCTAGATTTTTTTTTCATTTCCTGGTGTGTAAAGTCATGTCGGAAATCAGTTATTGGAAATGCATAATACACTCCATAAAATCTCTAAACAGCCTAGATAGGAACTACAACAGTGAAACAGTCTAGTCATCTCCTTTGGAAAACGTCACTCATTTAATTGCGAATGTTGGCACCAAGATTCAGACTCTCTAAAATCATGCCCCACCGTAATCACATATATGATGCAATAACATTGTGCTCCCCATTCCAGCGCTTCCTTCCTGAACAAAAACAAACAGTAGCTCTCAAGTTGGTGTCGCCATAGCTTGGCAGCCTCTACAGGAGCCATTAGTGAGAGGGCAATAGTGTGACTTATTGGTTACCAGATGCCAAGAAATCAATAGTACACGATCTGTAAACGTCACAGGGACAATAAGAACCCAGGTAATATTAACGGGCCAATTTTAGAGTGCAGGAGAAATAAGGACATTATCTGAAGGAGAATAGGGAATATATAATCAATGGAAATATCCGATAAACATGTCAGAAGTTTTGAGCAAACTTATGAACACAGTCATACAACAGTAAAGTTGAGAACATTTAGATTAACACATCAAACTGACAGCAATCAGAGGGTCATGCAGTTTCTTAAAAAAAACATACATATGTACAAAAGAAAAATGTCTGTCAATGAATGGAAAGGATACAAGAACATGGTGATAGAATCTTGTTTAACGATGTGAAGAATTTTATTAACTTTCAAAAAAAAAAATTTACTATGAGAGTGTGAAGATGATTACTATAGAGAAATGATAGAAGCATCTGATGGCAGTACACAAGACCTATTATGTGCTTCTAGACGGGCAAAAAATAGCAAACTAGAAGGTATAATGCGTATAATACTTTTGAAATGAAATTTCAGGCAAAATCTTAATTATCATCGCTGTCACATATCAAATTGTCAAACGACAATAGGTTGTGGTGATGTTATAAAACTCTGTCAGCTGTCTGGTACAGCTGTCATAAACGATTTGCTGCCTGCCATGGTATTGCCAACTATATGGTACCACCCTGTTGTACATCCACTCACCAAGTTAACAAGCAATGATTATATGGTTCCTGCTATTCTCATCATTACAAATGACAGGTTTTCCCTATACACTTTTTATCCGCATCTTGTGTTTTTTTTTGATAAATACAACAGTTTACATAAACGGGTTTCTACAAGCTGTGATAAAGATCTAAACGATACAATCTACAACAAGTTTATTTCATGGTTGCTCTACATCAGAAATGATTTTCACAAATTTCTGTAATGGTAGTAACATATATGAGCTTGAGCCTCATTACTTTCCACTATCTGTAAGTTATGGTTCACCTCCAAATCAGGAGAGCTCATCATCTTCCCTTATATTAACGTGATTCTCTATTCAATTACCTTATTATCAGACTTTTACATAGTTCTTTAATTGCTAATTAAATAAATCATATTGATATTATCACAAAGGGTGACATTTTTATCAAACTTTAAGGAATTATTTATAACTATCACTTAAATCTGAACAATAAATGTTATGCATCATATCATATCAAACAAATTAGTCAGAAGCTGATAAACATGGCTAGAAAACAATTTGTTTTCCATTTATTTTAGTATTTTTGATGAATGTTTTTACTACAGTAAAGTACAAAAAATATTTCTATTATAAACTCATTTTACCTTTCATTTTTAATTGATTTTTTTTTTCCATCAAAACAAAAATTAACAATCATGCTGTTGACATTTCAAAGACAAGAATCCTTTCCTGACAAAATTGAAATATTTATTTGATCATGTTCAGCAAGTGCAACTCCTATACGTCCTTTTTCTTTCTTTTTTTTCCACTTTTAAATTAGTTCAAATAAAAGCAGCTGCAATTATAATGATAGTGGGAAATTGTCCAATGATATATTAAATTTAATATTGCTCTATAAATCTTTTCAATAAAAGAAAAGGCTACCCAGTCTACCTAACCATGAAAACGGAGTCACAATACTAATTCAAATCTAAGGTGTCACTGAAAGACAGTGTAATGAAAAATTCCTCTGGTCCATTGAATACTAATATTACCACTTAGACACCAGGGACACTCTCTATGATGTATAACCTGCTAATTTATTGCCATGTTTTATTATGAAGTCTATAACATATAGGTATATGAACTTAGATAATAATAGTGATTTTTTTCATCAATTTTGGACAGTGTCATCATGTCTTACTACTATTTAAAAGGAAATAACCAAAAACAAAAATTAAACTGAAAATTTTGTATACCATAAATGAGCGTAATTTGGCACAATAATATCTTCGCACATTGTAAGTTTTTTAGCGAATTGGCACAATAATAACTTTGTACATCCAAAAAAGTTGCTATAAAATCAACATGCAGAAACTGCAAATGAGTGCATTTAGCATGGAAAATGCTAAAATAATATTACAATTCAAATATATATATATATTGGAATGGGACCAATTAAAACTTCAAAAATCCTGTGAAAAATCCCTGAATCATGGAAATAATTTTGCATAAAAAAAGAACCTTAATTACTTCATAGCTGTGCCTGTACTACCCATTCTTATTGAGACAGGTTGCACATGTACAGTGCCTTATGGAAGCAAATTCACATGCAGACAACGGTTTACATGTCATGGAGATTTTTGTAGGCTTTACTCATTAAGTTATCTTCAGTTTAGATCTTTTTAAAATATCAATTCAGGCTGATTCTAATTTTAGATAACCCTTTTAGGAGATTTCAAATTCCATCGAGTTAGACCTAACTTGAGAAAATATAATTTTCTGACAAGTCTATTTTACAAGAAGTAAAAGAGCGTCAAGCTTTGTTTTATTTTCCACAATGTCACAGAACTGCTACATACATACAAATATTTAATATGCATTAAATTATAAGTCAAACAGTGAAAGGCCTCAAAAAATCAATCTTCTGATATAAGATACATACACTACAGACAGCTGTTCTGTGCCAATATTATCAGGTTCCTACGTATAAAGTAGCCATACATAAAATATGATTTGTATTCCATAAATATGTTTTCTGTCATATGTTAAAATCATATGGCAGTTTAGATCAATTCCGTCTTCATTGTCATGCTACCTTGTAGAGTAGTCCTACCGACAAGCCTATCTAGTACTGACAGTATCAGACAAGATATGCAACATTTATCTGAATATTCTGAATTTATGAGGTGGTATGACAGTTCCATCCTCTGGCTAAATTAAGACCTATTGATTCCACAGACAAGTGATAATCACCTCTCCATCTCCAGATATCCATGAAAGCAGACTGGTGTCCAACATCTAGTATCAGGTATAATCAGACCCTGTCATACTCTCATTTTCTGCTTAGATAATTACAATAATAAGTCATTGCTACTTCAGGCTTGGAAAAATCCAGGAAGGTTGACCTAGAAAACCTATGGAATATCTGAAAAGGACCTAACTTCCACACCAACATTTCTGGTGGTGTAACCTCTTAGTGCTTGGGTGGCTAATCACCGACTACATCTTATAAAGCTGCACCTAGCTGCCATCGATTGTAACAAATGATTAAGGCAAGCGGAACATGAACAATGAAGACAATACATTTTTTATAAGGATAGTTTACTGTAACTCTAGATATATCACAGTTATAGCCAATTAACAAAATAAAGTACATCTCTGTTACCAAGTTAGCAGATCCATGTCAATCAACAGATGTCGAACACAATTTATAGAATACTGGTTCTCGCCGGTCAGAAGCTGATGATGAGTAATAATTTTGTTTCTATTACCATATGTTGAAACCACGATCTTATATTACCCAGATAAAACATCCACAATTCATTTTCTCTAGTCTCGCAATCAAAAGAGGTCTTAATATATATAAACTCTCACTACAGATTATCTTCAGGAAGTAGGTAATTTTCTGTAAAGTAAGAAGATAGAAGCTTAAGGAACAGCAAGACCATACAGCCATCAGCAAGTGGTAAGCTTAAAGCTGGGGATTAGCGTTAGAATCCCAATATGAGCTAAGCCCTGTCCTTCCAGATGCTCCCCTCATTTAAAACCATGACTAGTAGTGAGTGCAGGTTCCAAGTCGACAGCTAGTTGATTTCTAACAGTACTGCTCACACACTCCTGTCCTTACTAAAGAATGTCAACTCCACAGGAATGAAAATGGCAAACACTAAACTAATTCTGTTAATTTTATCAAAGATTTTCTGTTTAACATCCAGAAATGAAATTTTGCATTGATTTCCTTTTGATGAAATACATATTTCTGATTTTGCAAACATCTTTTAAATGCACACCTCCTGTAAGAATCACATTGATTACCATAAGACATCACAGCTTGCCTGTCATACAGCCATGATAAAAGAAGAAAAAAAAGAGGACACTAGAGGATGCACAATAGCAAGCACAGCTTGGATCTCTATCTGTGGTCATCTGTGTAACAGGATTAAGTTTATAGCATTAAGCATCTTATCTAAATGAGACAACACATTGAAACTTACCCCAGCCATTGTTTTGATATTGTGTAAAGCATTCTGAGCATCTAATGCAGCTTTTCTTGTAAAAAACGTAACGAAACAACATCCTACAAGAAAAAGAAATAACAACATTGATATTAAAAATATCAGAAGTTTTATCAAATAATGCACAACAGTCTTATATCATTAATATTTAAGTTTCCTGAAATAAAAATGCACTCCACTACATGAACTACTGTTATAAAACATGGATAAGATCTAAATTATAAAATCTACATTTCTAGTTTTAATATCTCTTCTTTCGGACACTTAATCAATCATGTCAAAATTCAAATAATTCCTATCTATCTATTGTACCCAATTATATGTACTTTGTGGGAAGGGGTGGGGAAATGTGAAACCTTTTTTTTCACATCTAACAAGGTAGTAAACATAGAATTTCAAAAAAAAGTGAGAGGGGGGGTTGGGTTGGGTTGAGATGTTTTGTAACAAAATCAGAAACACATTTTTTCAATATCTTTATTTGTGTCCGTAAAGATATTGATAAGAATATCATGCTGGAATTATATTGATGTAGTCTGTTTACAATTATATCTAAAATGAGAGAGTACTTCTGTACGAGAATCCTACAATTAAGTATATAGTAACAGTATCCAGTACCACATCTATACTCATAAACCTATAATCTCCCCAGTGTACAATCGAAAACCCTCCAAGAACATCACATTACCACGGTTCAAACTTTCACCAGAGACAAACAGTTGTCTTGTTTGTGTTTATTAGAGCAGGAAAAAAAGTATTGAATGGGTCAGTTTTATTTGTTCAATGATACAGGCCACTGTGCTTTACAATAACTGGCTCTACAGAAACATCCTGTCGAACAAGTTTTCTTACAGGCTAGGTTAGATCCTGTTTTATGTAAATACAAAACACACAAGGAGGGGACACTTGGAGTACTAATATCTACTTTGCTTTGTTGATGGTACTCGCTATCAAATATATTCATCAACATTTCAAAAGAATAGATAGATATTCATCAACATTTCAAAAGAATAAATAGATAGTCAGATATTCATCAACATTTCAAAAGAATACAATGTCAGATACTTTTACAGGATATGATTCATTTTTGGAGAACATTTTTCATTTTTACTATGAATTAACAAAATTCTTCACTACTTAGCCAGTTTTATATTGTTCAAAAACGTCTTGCAAGGCAACCTTAAATCAACTCCTCCAGAAAAAGCAGAGATGATTCAGATAACTATTGCCAGGCTGGTTCAAATCATTTTTACATCATAAATTTCGAATATATCATCTAATCAGATTGAATTATCATCACCAATAGCCATGTCATCACCACAAAAAATTTCTATACAAACATTAAAATTGTATTTTTATTCAAAATTCCTGCCATAATACTTAGAATTTTTATAAAACATACTGATATATTAACAAAGGAAAATGATAAAATATGTTTTCCTATAAAACAGATTTTGATAAATAGACTTCTTTTTTCTTTTAAACATGACATGTTGGTTTGTTGAATAGAAAGTCTGAATGCGTCAAATTTGATAGGGAAATAAATGTCTAACAAATATTTTTATTTTTTTTTTTAAATAAATTGTCCAACACTTAAATTTTTATTTAATATTATAACATATATGTAAATCAGTAAAAGCTTTGCATACAGAACAGTTGCAAATGCTCTTCAACCAGAAAGAAAGATCACTTCACACTTATGTATGCAACATGAATAGTTGACAGTGAAAATCATTTCAAAATTCTAATGTTATCCTTTGACAAAAGTATTTTATGAGGCATATCAACAATGACAGCTAATATCTATTCTAACACGTTACACCCTAAAGTGTCATTTTTAAAGAAATTCCCAGTAAAGGACAGATTAAACCCTACAAAAACCTCCTGTAGCTGATAACGCTAAAGTATGTTATGATTAATTTCGACTCTTTTAAACAAGTTCCAAATAAATGTAAGTTAAATAAATCAAGCAACCAAGTCTGAATCAAAACGATCTTTTTCTTCCACTTATGTCTCGTCTACAACAATAATCAATGGGATCATGAATTCAAAGTCCACAAACAGAATCTTCTGCTTCAGTACAGGAGTGTATCATGTGTCTTTCACCCATACAAAATGTACTTCTACATTAACTTGAGTTATTTGTTTGACTCCTTGAAAAAAGTCGTGTCATAAATACTACAGAAATATTAGCCATCACACTTGATGAAGCAGCAGGGTTGTCCGTTTTCCTCCTGACAGGTGAGCTCTCCGCATGGCCTCACCACATGTGACTGGATATAGATACAGGTGATATGAATCGAGTGAGGGACTTGACTGATAAGTATCATAGTTTTGGTGTGGATCATATTTTCAGGCCAGGATACCGGATACTCAGAGTCTTCTATCCTCGACCTAAGCCATATGCTGATCACCTCCTGGGAAGCTTCTCATTCAAATTACAGTAAATCAACACAATACTATTGTTACTATGGTAACAGTTAAATAAATATTCATCTGAAGTTTAAAGCATATATTTTTTTCTCAAAATTACACATGACATAGTTGTCAAACAGGCATGGCAAAGGAAGCTCTAAATTTGACCAAGACCTAAGAAAATGCCCATTAATTTCACACAGGCCAAAGAAAATGCATGCTTGTTTCACCAAGGTTGAAGAAAATGCCTGTTAATTTCACCCAAGCTAAAGATAACGCTTGTTCATGTATTCTAAGGATGTTGCTACAGAATAGAACCCATGAGGGTCAAAACAAGAATAATGTTTAGCTTTAGATCACTACATGTGCCAAAGTTTTATTCAGCATGTGTAGTGAAGTAAAATTACAAAACTATTCTTTACTCTGGTTTGAACTAAGATTTTTTTCCTCCTTTGCAAAGTAATGTCCTTTGTCTTACTAACAAATAGGTCTAGGGAAATGGTTTGATGTATGTTTGACTGGCAGGCTCTACCCAAGTTTCATGACACAGGAACTACACTGGGCTTACAATATCTACCAATGACATACAGATGCCCATTTCACAAAATGGCTATTGGCAAAATGATGATTTTTTTTTTGTCTCAACAAATCTGCATGAAGCCAATTGGAATCCATACAAAGTGATGAATGAATAAATACATCGTGTATGTTTCTGGCCCAAGGAGAGTATTGTTCCTGTACACTACATTAAATGTGCATGTATTTCCTGTACTACAGACAATGCAATGAACACCATTGAATAGGAAAGATCACTTTTCTTTTCAAAGTCTGAAGTCATGATTTAAAAACTATAATTCAATATCTAATTTTTCTTCTTATTTTCCTACTTGATCAATTATCAAAAATCATGAAAGTATTTTTCTTTATCAGTTTCAAACCCAAATCAGCTATAACCTGCTAGAGTAATAATGTAAGCAATCAAATGAAATGCTTTCAAGTTTTATATTTCTGTAAACAAGTGATTTAGATCAGAAGAAAAACCACACATGAAGAGGTCAACGGTCAACACGAAGTTATCGTAAAGGCAAGATATCCAGAGTAGACAACAGTGACCTAAACATTAAAGGAAATTCCTTTCATTGTCCATTCAGGAAAAGGATGTTGGTTACAATTGTATATCAGAATTCTTAAAACGTGTGTGTACAATCAGATAGACAAAATGTATTTATCCTTAATTCATAGTGTCGGAAGGAAGTTATCACTTACAGCCATTGTCTGAGTGTAGACTACTGAAAGTAGGTAGAGTCAAGTATGTACTAATAGCTAAAGGTAACACTTAGTAACAATCCCCCCATCTGTTCTTTATTTCTAAAATAAACAAACTTTCACTTGGGCAATGGCACAAATGTTTGGTCAAAAACAGAAGCTATGGTGACTATTTGTATTTCCAGAGAAATTCCAGTCTACTGATCATGATTTGATGGCGATTATTCAGGAGCTTGATTGACAAAGTCTACTGGGATCAAACCTAAATGCATGCTGCTCATAAAGCTAAAAGCCATTCTTCCCCACTCTTGGATTTTTACTGGCATGAATAATGTTGGCAGTTAGAAGAGTTTTACTAGGCAATAAGCTTGGGAAAGACTAGACTTGGATCAGGATTATAATAAATGTGAAGTGTAAAAATGCTGGTTGTGAGAGGGGTTTAACGGGACTGTAATCTGGGGAAGGAGTGCACCGAGATAAGGATTATAAAAAGTGGGAAATGTATTAACACAAAATTTCCCACAATGTAAAATCAATAGCACAATTAATTATTTCATATGCTGCATATGATATTAACAACTGACATCTGTTCATACTTCCTCCTTATCATCCACTCCAGGGTCACTTAACCACTGTTTATTGAACAGTTTGTACAAAACAGAATTGTACAGCAACACCTTTCTACATCTTCCATCCCAGCCAGTTCAAAGTAAATAGAACAAAAAGCTGAAATACTCCAGAATAACAACAAGAATAACACCAAGCTGAATACCACCAGAGAATGTTTATTTGGCATTTATATATAGCTAAGAGAAGAACTCTGATATGACCTTTCCACACCCAATGTGGTGAAATAATTAAGACGGTCAAACTCATAAAGACCAATAATCATTATTGTTAGGCTTCTACATAAACCAGATATGTCAGTAAACAAGCCCACATGATCTAGACTTCCTATGATGGTCATTTCAGATTACCAGCGAAATTTCTGACTACGGTAAATGTACATGACAATACTATTCTTCCGCAATATCTTGGTCTAAGCACCAAGATCAATCTAGGTACTGTTCTGGTAGGAAGTCCTCTCAGACATAAACCAGGTAATGCAGTTCTTATCGGTAATATATTTCCTATCTCTAGGTGTAAATTCTACTATCTGTATCACTGCTTCTCTTTCCCTGGGATCAACTTGTCTGTTTACTTCAGATAACACAAGACCATTCATAGCATTACAAAATGTGAGGCATAAGAAAAATTGATAATCACTTAAAACACAATACACCCTTCGTAACAAAAGTGTATAGGTATTAAAATAAAAGTATGTCTCAAATCTGAGATATTGAAGAAGGATTTTGTTCCTAAATATGACATATTCATGAATCTGAATCAAGGAAACTCATTTTGGATGACCTTCACCTCCGACTAATCATACGCTAATTGCCAAATAATACTGGTCAATATACTTAAGATTTCCTGATCCACAATATGGTTGAAGATTTTGGACTCCATATTTGATATTAAATGTGACTTAAATCACACCTCTTACACATTAAATATTTATCTGAATTATCATTGTTTATTTGTTGTTGTTGTTGTTTTCTAAGGATAAGGAGTGTTCTGTATCATGACCTTTAAATTTACATCACCTTCACTTCATCATCATAATTTGAACAAAAGTGAAAAATCTTCATCCCAACAAGCAATTGCTGCTAAACGATCTACAACAAGTAACTCTACCTGAAGTACAGTACAGTATGTGCTACCTGTACTTGTATTTAAGTTTTATCATTGTTGTAATCATCAAAGTCAAACAAGTTTAATGACAAGACTTTTCTATCAAGGTCCTGAAGTAAAACCAATGTTATTTTTATATACCATATGTGATGACTTTGTGACACGAAATAACCTACTTATCTTTAGTACTTTTTTATGCGTGTCATTATACAGCATAAAAAATATATATCACTATACAGTTCATTTTTATCTTATTCTATTTCATAACTACAAAACATACGTTAACCATTAAGCAAACCCATTTTTCTTGAAACTTATTCAAATAATCTGTTTTTTCGTTTTTTTTCCACTAAATTTTCTTCCCAAAAATTGTCAAATTCTTCCAAAAAATCAGGCATGAAGGTTTCATTGCAAGCTTCTGAAAGAATCGCCCTGAACATCTTACAATTTCACCAGTAAAAGAAATTCATTCTGTCAATGATCACCAGCAGATCAACGTATAGCTGTATAAGTATTAACTAAAGCCATGAGATTTCTTCATTACGAATGCTCATATGGCCATTTACCCTTTCAGAATAGATTTACTTTCAAATCGGATTCCATTTAGGTTTAGGTGACCCATATCTACACAAATGAATCTGGCATAAAGCCTATGTCAAATTCTCTGCTATGATGTAATCTGGTAAAATCAGAGACAATCTGATCACAAAGAGCCGAGGATTAACCTGGGTACTGGTTGTTAGGATAAAGGCAAATCTGTTAGCCTTTCTCAACAAACTGGTCTTTAAATCATCATTCGATATACCTGACAACCATTTGATTACAAATTTACCTGTGGTACAAAGCCCATTGTTGGTATCAGTTTGATTGAAACTCTACACATGCCATTACATCAAAGATACTGAATCATGCTAGTTTCTTTAACAAGTTTTTCCAGTTCAAATGTACAGGCAATATTCAAATATGTTCTCTTTCATGGAAAACTTGTCTCACTGACAGATTTCTTGCTTCATTTATTCGTTAAAGTTAAATTTGTTTAGTTTTGTCATCTAAGTTAAGGATGAAAGGACAATCTTTAGCAATATATGCAGTATCTGTTTGTAAAAAGGATTTTATGTCTCTTAAAAAAATGAAACTGACAGTTTTTGCAGAAATGTAATAATTTCACATGCTGTTTGAAAAGATAGGTAACTGACATCAGAGCTAGAGAGTCTGACTTAATAATTAATAACATATATAAGTTGGACAAAAATGTAGCCCTATATCTGCATACTACACTAGGAAAACACAAAATACTTTGCCTTGGCCTTATAATTTATACAATAATGGCACAACTACCTTTTTTTTAATATCTATGCATATACAAATTCATACATCTCTCTACAGCAATGACTCTCATAAATAAAGCTAGACAAAGATTTTCCCTTGTTAGATGGCTGAAGTAACCCAAGATAATGTATTTGTACTTTACATGGCTTTGATAGCACAAAGTGAAAGTGTACACCGCAATCCTTAAACACATACCTATCTGTTTCTATTGCATTAGTATAGGTTTTCAGACTTTAAGTAGGATGTATTTAATTAGAGCAAAGGCAATCCATTTGAGTTATACCAATTTGGCTTCTAATGAAAATGTCTCCTTGTAACTATGAGACAACCTGATGCATTACGGAACCCCTTTCGGAGTCTTCATTCTCTGTATTGATAGGTAGACCATAGCTTTCGCTGAAATCTACTGGTAAAACAGATTTACAATAACACCTAATTGTGTGCTTGCATGTAGATGTTTCAATTAACATTATTACCTAGCACCTGTTTCAAAAAACATTGGAAACACTTTTTTGCTTTTATCATCTACACTTTAACAGGAAAACATGCTACCTTCACTACATATACAGCCTCATAAAATAGGTCATTCCTGTCCTTGTGGTACACTTAGACAATCTTATTTATGTCCATTAATAAAAAGTTGTTTTTCAAACAATACCTTCATTCTATGCTCTGTCTGCCATTTTTGAGCTTTTGATCACCATATAAACACAATGTAGAAATGAATCAAGGTTGAACTGATGAATACATCTACCTGCCCTATACTCCATACATTTCTACAACCCCTTTCATACAATAACATCAATGCTTGATATCTAGAATTTCATTTAGGTATGAGAATTTCTCAACAAAGTGAAGACATGCCATCTTTAACCTTAAAAGAGGATAAAATTTCAAACATTGTACTGAGTATCACTTGCGAAAGACTTCAATTACATTTATTTCTTTAATTTAATTGCAATTTTAAATAGTGGCCTTGAAAAATGTCTCCTGCAAGATCAAGTTGCTTCAGTGTAACTATATATATATTTACAACTATGAAATCTGTTTCACACAATTCAAGTATTTAATTCTGGTAAGGCTAACAACCATGAGTCAGACTTAAATATGTGCTAATATCATTCACAGTCATGTACATATACAGGTTTACGTTGACTGGTGTATATCTCGTATACATATAGACACCATCTCCTACCATTTTTCACATCTAGTTTCCAGTATTGGATCAGTCTAAATTATTTTTGCAATTCAATTAAGAAATGTGATGTAAATCTTTTCAAATTCTTCAATTGTCAAATATAAAGGATATGTACTTATAATTAAAAATTCGAAAAAAAAAAACATCTGTACATAATTTCTATGATTTGAATTTTTGGTCTCAAGATGTGTTATAGCCACAGTGAAAATGTGACGTGGATTTTACAGTAATTTGTGTTTCAGACAACAACTTTAATGTAATACTATTGCTCAAGAACTGTATGGAATGTGTTATGGTAAAAAATGGGTGAAAAACAAATGTACAAACCCATGTTCATAATAACTTATGGTGTGCGATGGAGATAAACCATGTATTTGATGTAAACACTTTTTCTTTCCAAAGTATAATTTGAGTTATAAAACTGCCTCGTCATGTAATGCCACACTTGGCTGTCAACTGAATCAAATTGCCCTAAACCTTTCTACAAACAAATATATAAAACTCAGCATTTCTTGATGTTTTATATATTAATCAATACTTCAAATTAAGGCCAAAGAACATATTGATCATCCATAAGGGATTTAATCAATTATTGCAATATTGACTGAGCTACATTTCCTTTGTTTTACGGTCCATTTTAAATGATAAATTGTCAAGAGAAAAAGAGAGTTTCAAGCCTGCTTCAGCAAGTTTTTCATTGGTTTCAATGCAATAAAAAGCAAAGCATTTTTAAAAAGCATTTCTACACTATCATAACAAAGATTGATGGTCAGACAGACAGAACATGAGGCTCTACTAGCTGCGATGAGAATTAGATACAAACTATTTCTGACAGTTAAAATTACCTTTGCTCTGTCCTGTTCCTTTATCCCTCAGCACATTTAACTGAAACACTGGACCAAACTCTTCAAACATTTTCTTGAGATCAGATTCATCCATGGATCTGGGAATCTGACCAACAAACATCTTGATGGCATCTGGATCGGGTTCCGTTTTTTGAGGCTGAGAATTCATGGTTCTGAAAGAAAAATGAAAATTCAAACATAAATAGAATGATCAGATTATACCTAAGAGTTATCGTTCAATAGAAAGTAACATTAGCAGGTGTTTTTACATCATTGCACTGTGATATTTTTGATGGCTTTCTGGGACTAATAATCGGTCTTATTCCAACTGATGTTAATTCATATTTAAGCCTAATTCCCGAAATTTGCATTTAACTACTGAAAATGTCCTTCCTAATTCACCAAACTATTTTAAAAGAGTTACACTAAACTGTTGCCAATTTCAGATATTGTTATCAGTCCAAAGGCAGGTTATAAGAGAGCAGAGACGATACACTCATGCATCAGTGTATTGTGATACACATTAGGCTTGACACTAGTACCCATCCAAATAAAACATTTCAATACCTTTATCAATTCTCTGTCTTGTTCTTCTTATTTATTTGTTAAACAAAATCACTTAACGAATTTTCAAATGACTTAACATTTCAATTAAATGTAGGCAACATCAAAAATGAAAGTGCAAATACAGACATGAATGAAAGTGAAAGGACAAATGAATGGCTGGTTCCAACTAAGCCAAATAGAAAGTGTTTTACAACAGATCCTTCGTAACAAATCAAAACATACTGATGATCCTGAATGGATTCATCTAAATTCACTATCAGGAACCAAATAGTCCTTGTGGCAAGTACTGTCTGTCTGTCTACCAGATAAAGGATGGAGCATATTAAAAAAAATCTAACACGGAATGCAGAATATGCAATGCTGTACTCACATGCAATACAACAAATATCTCAAAACATTTATCTAGGCACCAACTGAATAACTGCCTGGCATATGACACCAGTTCTATAGTCTTTCACCCGTCACAATTGCAAAGACAAAACCAGGTGATAACATGGCTACTACTAGTTTCAAAGAAGTGTTTCAGGGATTATCACATGCATCAGATCACCATGAATTATGAAAAATATAATTAATGTATTACCAAGCTCTGACAAACACAACCTTGTATTTTCATACTAAATATTGAAACAGTGATTCAATGAAGTGTGAAATAACACCTACAAACCTGGAACTTTTTTTCTTCTTTTTACATCAACCTTCCTGATTCCTATTTATACTATTGATATAGCATTATTGTAAATATTGATTATAGAAACACACTCAAGTCAGTAGCACTTGACCCGATTACCCCCAACCAACCCACACAGGTGCACATGCACAACAAACAGCCCTGGTTATTCTAGTCATAAGGTTCAGACCAATTCCAGCAAAGCAGAAACCAATAGGAGTCCAAAGCTGGGACCAGATCCAGCTGAAGAACTGATACTGATATAGATATCAGCTGGAAAGCAAGTATTACTCAGTATAAATCTTTGATAAAGCTAAGATAAAGAGTCTTCCAATTCAACAAAGTACAATAGCTAGGATGGTTGAGCAGTACAATCAAATGTAAAACAAAAAGGTTACAATCAACTTAATGAAACTGAAAATAGCATGTTGATATATATATACAAGCTCGCTATGTATTGATGCATATCTTTAACAAGTACCTTGAGTAATTTCTTTAAGTGTTTTTAGTGGAAAAGTTCAAAATAACAAATTCATACTAGGGATAAATGGTCTCTACAAAATATATAAAAACATTAATAATTATTAAGAGCTTTTTGCCTGTTCTACACGAACAGTTTAATATCTAATCCTATATTTGACTGGGTAACAAAAGCCTTTTAAAAAAAAACCTTGATTCATTTGATTATCATATCAAAACAGGTCTGGTTTGGGTCTGAAATAACTATAAAATGCTTGTCTTAAAATGAAAGCCTCTTCCTAGACAGTGAATTGTATTGCAGACACTGAAACTATACTTTTTACTTTGCTTTAAAGTCTCTAAACAGATGCTTCTTTTCTGTTCTATAGCTTCTCATGTCTGTTAAGTCTCTTCTTTAATTTTAATTCTAAGTAAATCTTCAAAACAGATTATCAAAATACAAAGTTATGCTAACCATGTACGAGATCTACATCTATGCAGGCTCCATGATGGATCCCAGAAAAAAAGCTCCCACAAGATGTATACCCACTGCAGTCTGGAAGCTGTGGGAGGGCTAAATATATCTGCAGATCATTACAAAGGTTTGGTTGCAGAATGATGTCCAAAGAATGCAAACCGACCATTTAACATGTGAGGAAGCGGATGTGTTTTGTTAAATGAGACCTTGATCAAATGTTGCATGAATGATAGCATCACTGAAAGCCTCATTGTCATATAATAGCTAAATCTGTCCACAGTCCCAAACCTCTGATATTAAGTATTCGCAAACAACCCCAGCTCCTCGCAAACAACCTCAGCTCCTCTAACACAAACATATGTTCAAGACAAAAACTCTTATTGCATTAGATTATCTATTCCAATTTGTCTTACAAATAACAGAAATCTTCAGTAAACAAATAAACTACTTTGTTCATGATTTGTAGATCCTGAAACATCATATGGTAATGCAAGTCTTCAAGTGAGGCATTTTATTACCTATTTTCCTTCGTGCAATCTGATACAGCCGTGTACATTTTGTACATTATCACATTTTTGAATTGTAATGTTCTTCGCTATTCATATTTTATCAAAACCTTATCCCACATCTGTAACCTTTTCACTCCTGAGCTCCAAGCACCCAACTGTTTTACAGCTTTCGGGAAGTATACCAAATAACTGAGAAATCCCTCATTCCATCAAGCCTAGAAAACCAGCATTATTGGCAGGCTTAATGAAGTCAGAGGTAGCAAAAACCTTCACCATTTATGAATACTTAACTCCAATAATGTAACACTTTGGTGGCATTTCAAATCTCTTCAAAGTCTTAATAGAAAGGTTAAGAGTATTCTCATTTTTTCAAACATTTCAGGTCTACCACCTAAGCTAGATGTTTAGACCTACACTCCAGGCTGAAAATAACATGGCAAAATATTCAGGATTGTCCACAATCCACAATCATTGACGAGCAACATTCAGGTTAGGAAATTATTCAACACTTGTGTAAAACATTATTAGATCAGTTCACATGAATTACAGAACTGCCAGTCTTCCATTTATTAAGGACATTGTTCTTGTATTCTGTTTAGCAACAAGCGAATGAAGAAAACCACATAAAACTTATTGAAATATCAAAATTTGAAAAGTATGCCATATTAACTTCATCAATCATTTTTTGATAAATACTTACAACTGAAGAATCATCCAAAAACATGTCACATCCACTTTGGATGTTACTATTATCTAGACCACCAGGTATGTAATTTAAGTTTGTTAAAAATACTATATAAAATACTAGAGACTGTCCAAAATCAAGCACACAGGTAAACACAGAACACTAATAGAGCAGTTCACTGTTCCAGCAGTTAACTGTAGTTTTTAGATTTTAAAACTATCTGAACATGAACAAACATCTCCTGGGGAAAAATTCTATTTGTTGTTAAAATCTATCCATTTCCAAATGCTATCGATTCATGGTGATGACAATCTCTTTAACCTGGAAACATCCTAGTTTATATCAATGATTGATACAGGTCTACCTGTGACATGGAGCGTAATATATCGAGCATCTGAGAAATTGCTCCAATGACAAGGCTGTTGTTTTGAGAGACATGTATTTACATGTGTTTAGTATCACAGGCTGCTGAGGTAGTGTACATGTATAAGGATTGATTGATGAGAGTTTCTATCAGTTTCGCTTCATCACAAAACACTGACAGATAGCCAGTTTATGTTATACAAAGATGGACTCTTATTACATATTTCCGTTGTCCAGGAGCTGAAACATTCGGCCAATATTCAAGTTAGTCATTATCAGCCTGTTGTAGACTGTGTGACCAATACATCACCACAGCTGTGTGTGCCTATCTTGAAAGCTGATCATCAGTGAGCAGTTATGTTGATAGGAATATATTGAAAGACAAGTGATTATGGGAGCATAGATTGTCAGGTCCAAGAACATGCTGCTGGAGCTCTCCTACACTGACTTCAAGAATCCACTATCCCAATTAATCAAGAAATTATGAGACTATCAAAAGTTTGAAAATGGTGTTCAAGATTCACACAAGAACAGAAACATATTACTGCAAAAACCACTTAAAAACCAGTACTGTCTTCTAGCAACTTACGTTAGCATTATAATCAAGACACAGGTATGGCAGTATCCAGACAAACTGACACCTCCTTAACTTATATTTGATTAAACCATAAGCTAACGAAATGTCTGGTAATGATTCCACGGCAAATCATTTTTCATCATGATCATTCATCTCAATGTGAATATTCATTTTTCACAGAAAATTTCAAATGTTTTCACACAGAATTTCAAGTCTGTGAAGTAAGCAAAACCTAAATCTATACTTAATAGAAATTAGTCCATATTCCCATCAACAGAAAGTTATGCATCACAAAAATAAACATTCTAAATGCAAATGAGCACCTGTTTCAGCTTCTTGTTGGAGATAAATTCATGTCATTGAAATACATTAAAATTCTTTTTCCAAAAAATTCAATGGGATTCATAAGATTTGTGGAACAAAAACTCTTTCTCTCGATTACAAATGGAGTTTTTATTCAGAAACATTAAGATACTTGTATAATCATATCTGCTTCACTTACTTCTTATAATAAAGACACGGGTCAACTTTGCCTTGCCAAAAACATATTCATATAACTATGACACTTCTAAAAATATAGCTCTGTCATAACTCTATTTTGCTAAAAGATATGTTCTAGGAAATATCCGGTAGCTATTTAACAGAGACCTAACTCTACAATGCTGTGTAATTAAAAGCAGCACAAACCCAACTCCTCTTACACCAAGTTCCAATAATGATTATTTAATTAATCAGATAATACAGGGTAGTACAGTGCATGTTGTCCTTCCACACTCCAATATCAGCTTCATCATTTCATACACAGAAATATTTCCAACTTAAAATCCACAAACTGTGTTTTACCATCGATCATAATCACTTTCAAACTGGATACATGAAAGAAATGCTTTTCACCTCATCCAATCCTGCTCACAACTATAAAACAAATTTGCGTCAGATAACATGCCTGTCTTTAACTGTTTCAGACACTATCGCATACACAATCTTGTAAAGAGGAAACACTGAAAACTAATCTTAACTGCTCCTGTATGTCATCATGCTGAAATTTTAGTAACGTTTAACAAAAACTGTAATCTACAAAAGTTAATTAACTCATTTCATGATGACAGCAATTCCAAAAATGAAAGATTAAATAAAATATTGATGTCACAATATTTTTTTCAGGCACTGTAAAATGTATATGTATCTTGTCTATTTTAGTCTACACACAATAATAAACTATTACATGATTTAAGGATTTCAGAGTGCAGAATTTATAAATGAGTTGGTAACTATGACAAACACAATATGTCATAAATCATTGGACAGTGCTAGTTGATCAAAACTTGCTTCCCAAATGAAATTATTAGCAAAGCTGTTGTTCATTTTTGTCAAGAAAATTCAAAACACACTAAAGGTTGTTTAAGTTATCGATATTAACATTTTCCGTGAATACTTTCATTGATATTATTGAAAAAAAGTGGTTTAATATTGTTCAACGTTATATATAATAAATATAGAGTGTGATATTATAAGATTTTTTTTCTGGTTTTTTTTTCTCGCAGGATTTGTATCAACCATATGCTGTCTCTTAGAATAGCTTTAATGGTTACTGACAAAAGTGTTATTATTCTTGCAATATGTCTAACACACAGTCACATCCATCCTATATGCACTTATGATAAACAAAGGAGTAACACATTGGTGGAGTTCTAAGTATTATGTCAGATATTACGTAACACAAGTCTCACATGTCCATCATTTGTAACAGAAATAATTTACTTTTATCATTGTTACTAAGATATGCTTAAGATATATATAAAGATGTAGAATTCTATGTGAATACATTTTGTCCACCGATATATTGCTATTGGTCTGTGTATCTGGGTGTACTGCTAGGCATAAATATACATTTTAATAATTCATACTCATAGCAATATAAGATCTCATGTAATGACATTACAGATCAAACATTTAACTTCGGAATACTCTTCATCTTTGTTACTACAGATACATGATAAGTAACCATTGTACCCCTCAAGTTCCATCACATCAGGCACCATAGATACGTCCAAATACAAAAGACAATAAATAAACAAATCTTATTTTTCATTACCTTTTTGATCTATTGATGCTCAAATTTTATTAAAACTGAAAAACTTTTTTAAAAATTTAAAACAGAGAAAATATTTTTAAATGAAAATAATTAGATTGAGGAGACTTTGGAGTAGTTCCAGGAAAGGGGACAGACACATACCCTCCTATATTAGCTGAATCTACCATTCCATTTAGATGGGTACCATTCTGCATCATATTGACACTGGACGGTGAGATTTCCTCTAACACAGTATTTCCATCCGAGACTTTCCCGGAATCATTTTCCATCGGACTACACGTTTTCAAATTGGAAGAATTGTATGCTATCCGAATTCTTTTACTCTCTAGGCCATCCAGAATGTCCTCGGCAGTAGTCGACAAGGATGTATATTTCCTAGTACGTTTGCATAGCTCCATGTGATACATGTGATTGAGGCAGCAAGATGCGATTACACCATCATCAACACACTACCTGTGTGCGTAATAATATTAATATGGAATGCCTTATCTGCTGTTCCCTCTCTCAGGTCTGACTATTAGCTATCCGACAGCAAGTAACATTAACACAAGGCTGACTCCAGTGATGATGTGTAGCTAGGGCAAACTAGGGTAGTATCCTCCCCCAATGTTTGTTGCTTGTGCCACGCTAAGATACACTTGAAAGCGTTGATTTGGTCCAATCACTACAAGGTTCCCCTACCAATCCCCTTCATTTGATAAGATGAAGTGTTCAGCAAAGAACCAGTGTGGTTACTGCAGCCCAAGCAAATTAACAAATTAAGTTGCTGGAGTAAGTTGGAAACAGATGTCGTGGCCCAAACAGAAATTCCTGTCTGCCTTCAGTTTTCAATATTTCCACAGGAACTGCCAGTACCTTTTTAAAGTTGAGGAGAATTTAAAAATCCAACAAGTCTTCAATGCCAGAGGGGATAGAAATAATTACTTCACAATTTACACTAAGCCATTAAATACATGTATATGGAATATGTTACAGCTAATTTAAAATCCACAAATATACACATTGAAACACATGTGGCGAGTTGGTTAGACAATACACAAAATTCTATACATACACACTGTCGACAAGTGGGTGAAAGGGTATATGTATGATGTATATGTATGGCTAGTATATATAACAATACACGCCTTTAAATACCTTCAAAGTCCCCCTAGCCTACAGGTAAATCAACACCCTATACTTAACTATGATAAAATCGTGAAGCATTTCTCAGGTAGAAAGGGATAATAAAAGATTTAGAGGTGACATGATGAAAAGACAAAATTCCAAGTAATTCACACTGATTACATATTTAGAATTGTCTGGAATCAAATATGATATGAATTCAGTTATCTGAAACTGTCCAAAAAATTAATGTTTTCCACATGAATTCAATCTTACAACTGTATATTCCAGTGTCAATTGATAAGCCTCGTCGTGACAGTTATCGATTAAAATGTAGAGTTATAAACATACATGGCCCTATTACCTGTAAATATTTACAACAACAATGTATTGTTCAAGTATGCTATATTGACTATAGTACAAGTGCAATAGTCTGGCAAACAATTGTAGAGAATGAATTAGTAAACAACAGAGCATTAATAATGAAAACTCTCTAGCAGGTCATATTATAAAGAAATTCCACAGAACGATACATGTATGTACTATCCCAATCTTAAACTCAGATCTGTGATGCACCATTTTGTCCCTGAATAAATTTATTTTTGAATATTTCAAGTCCTGTGAGATTTTGGTTGGTCTAGCACTTCTTCATGCCTGAATGTCTTATTTCAAAGAGCATTGTGATATAAAAAGCTAACCCTAGATAACCTCTATACAAGTTAGTTGTTTATCTTCTTTGTAGAGAATGAACCCTAATTTAAAACCCAAGAATAACGGTAGTCAGATATTTAGGACGGTCTTATGTTCCAACTCACAAGCTAGCACAATGTGGCACATGCAAACACTACCACCATCACACAAATCAAGCCTTCACATCTAGTTCATTTGGAATTTTAACCCGATACAATTAAACGCTCGAGCCAATGAAGCGTACGCAACAGATAATTTTGTCGATTCAACAAGTAGGAAAATAACCTCACCCAATCAATACATTTAGACAATGGTCATAGTATCAGTCATGTCAGGGGTAACAATGTTGAAACATTTTCAGCATAGCATTTATTATTCAAATTCTGAAACAAGTTAGCCTGCGAACAAGAGACAGCTGTTTATTAAATAGACCTACTCATTTGTCTCACATACTACTTAGGTCTGACAATGATACAGTGCTCTGTCCAGCTAATAAAGGCTAGTGTTAATGTACCTCTTAAGTCATGACAGCACCAGAAAAGGCTTGTAGGAATATGTGACAAAATCTGAGCCCATTCAGTTGATATAAATCAATGTATGCATTTTATAGGGATTTGTGAACCCAAACTACTGAACCCACTTTTGAATTGTAGACCTAGTGAGGTTTTTACAGCTAGCTATACAAATTTTACCATTCATAAGTACCATATCAAGAAATTAATAACCCTATGTACTTTACCTAATCAAACTTGAGGTGTTTAGTACTATTGAAATACTCTCATAAAGTTAATACTGAAATCTGTGCACTGAAAATGTCATTCAATCAACATTATACACTATATGTACACATTTAATTTCCGAGCATTTAAATCTGTATTTATGACAAACTATAAATACTTTAGCTTTTAAAAAGGTTACTGTGAATATTCATGGATGGATTGAAATGAGATTACAGAGCCAAAATAGAACAGAAATGTTTGACTTTAAATTCCATGCACAGAAATAATCTTGAAAGGATTTACAGAATTAAAATAGAAATTTAGACTTCAAAAATAAGAGAAGTGATATCCCTTTGAAACCGTGTAACCTTCTTTTATTTAAATATTACAAATGTCTGATGATATAACAAAGCTTTAAGCATACCCCTTAGACTAAGTAATTCTAAACTACTTTTATGCCAATCAAGAAAGATTAGACTTTGAGCATTACATTTTAATCTCTGAGAACCATTTCTTTGTAGATGTTTCATACTTAATAATTAAATGAAGTCAGATTAAATTGAAGTGAATAAATTTTCATAACTGCGAGACATTTTATTGCTTCCTATGTCAATGTTTTGAACAAACAGAAAGTCTTTATTAACAGCTGGAGTCAAAACCATTATAATGGTTACGAAAGTCACCGTAATCTAGTACCTCGGAATGTAACTCTCACAATATGACTGGGCCAGCTATTTATAAGAGAAGACTGAGGGACAATTGTGACTCTAGAAGTTATCATTCTCCGAAATTCAGACAAGGATATTCAGAAGCAGAACCTCACCTACAGATATAGATCATACATCCCTACATTCCTTCCTTCCTTCTATCTGATCTATGTATAAGGATCAAGTGACCACTACTAAACTGGCAAAGTATGGTTAGTATGAATATGTATATGAACATAGTGTAGGTTCCAGACTGTAAAATGTTCTTAATATCAGGCAAATCTTTACTCTGAATTTAAAACTTGTTTGGTTTTCATATTTCATATCAAATTATTTAAGTGTTGGTCTTCACAATGATTGGTTTTTTTTATTTGTCCTGAAATTGTAAGAAAAATCTGATAGTATACTAAGCCAGTATAGTTCTGATCAGTACTTAAAAAGGTCCTCCAATGAGAAACCACAGATTTCCATCAGTTGAATACAAGTAAAAGATTGTATAGCCCTAACACAAAATTATAGTCTTATATGTATGAATCTTTTCTAACCACAACAAACCTAAACTTAAACTCTGATGTGCTGGAAGCACACATGACTGACCACACCAGTCTATTACCAAGGTGTCTGTTGTCACAAATATTATCTACAAACGACTATCAGTAGATGCCACACATATGATGGCCTGTCATCTCCTTTTCCTGAACAACATGTCCCAACAATCGTGAACAAGATGGACATTTCCTTTGACAAAATATATATACCATTTCACAGACAATCTTTAACAACGCAGTAGTGTATAAATTTGCCAGTATTATTGTAACTTGCTCCACGAGAAGAGAAATCTAAATATTCAGAATAATAAATGAATAATTTGCATGAAAAACTTCTCCATTTCCTTGTATTTATAATTAACTCCCTATCAGTATCATGGCAAAATTACTAACCACTACTGACAGTAAACTTCAAAACTCTACTCTGTTAATATATGGCCTCTGTCTATGATTTTCCAATTTCTAACAATTTTGTGATAAAATACGATCACTGCAATGGGAAAAGGGAACGTATTGACACATGGCCAGAATTCAAAGCAAGGACTTCAAACCCCTTTATCAATAGGAACACTAAAAACTTAATGAGACTGTGGACAGCAATTTCCTGCAATTATTCCAGCTGTTGCATGGTTCCCTTTAATTAACAATGATATATCAACATATACTTTTTTCTATAAATATAAAAAATGTTTTTTTTCATGCCATGCACCTTATTCCATAAACCCACATTATTGTTATGAATCATCTGATGTCTGAATATTTTAAAAACAAAAATAACCGGTTTGTGTGAACATTTATTTATCAAATTGAGAATATTCTATTTCAAAATGCAGAAGTATTGCTTACACTAAATTACTATCTTCAATATATCATATTGAAATTAGATATATTGATGAATATTTTTTTTAAATAAATTCTGTATTTGGTACAATTTCAGTAAACATGAGCGTGACAAGCATGACAAGGTTGTCAGCTGTGGCTTTGTACATGACACATTGGCAAGTTAAAGAGTCGGACCCTTGTCTTATCAACAGGACCATTTTAAACAGGTAAATTTTCCTTCAGAGTAATGATAACATATTCATATTCTGTTTCTTTTCGGAATGGATTATTGTCTGTACAATAAAGTCTACACGCTTGTCTTCCGGTCAAAAGTGAAGTAGAATTCACAATCAGAAATTAGCATCGGATATAAAGTTATGTAATAAAAGCACATCGCTATTAACCGGTTTCATGTTTATGGCGAAAGTAAGACAATAAACCTAACATAGTGTGCTATCATCGGTAGTTGTTGTTTCAACACACTTCCAGGTAGCAAAACAGGTCACGTTTCCGTTAAAGAAAAGCAAAGGAGAAAATAGATCGTCATTTTCGGACCGTAAACAGGTGAACATTGGACGAGAAACTTCAATAAAATCAAGGTAGATTCTGTGGTCTACAAATTGTATCGTTATACAGATTTAACCAAACCGGCTAAACAGTAGCGGTTCGACACGAGGTTACACACACCGTAGCATAGTAATCCGTCACCTGTAGAGCAGCGAACAGCAACAAGCACCGAAGAGCAAGTCGGTCAACCCGTATTGCTTGACCTTTCTAACGCGTATACGTGGTTGTAAAAATTAGTAAACAGTATATACTTATATAAATATAGTCAATAGATAACCTAAGTTTCATTCAATAATAAAGATTTCATGCTTACCTATTTCCACGTGAAAACACACACAGACAAGACAGCACAAACACACAACAAAATGGCGGACGGTGGTACCCACAATGCTTAGTACCTATAAACAGAACCTGCACACAAGCACGTGGTTGAACAGCA